TGTATCCCCTTTCCCTTGCTCAACTTGTGAGCCGCCCTGAGTCCCCCTCGGGGAAAAGGGCGGCATACAAATGAAATAAATGAATGAATGAATGAGAGAAAGGAGGGAGGGAGAGACAGGGAGGGAGAGACAGGGAGGGAGGGAGGGAGAGACAGAGAGAGACAGAGAGAGTGGGGAGAGAAAGAGGGGAGGGAGAGACAGGGAGGGAGAGAGAGAGACAGAGAGAGTGGGAGGAGAGTGGGGAGAGAAAGGGGGAGGGAGAGACAGGGAGGGAGGGAGAGAGAGAGAAAGAGAAAGAGAAAGAGAGGGAGAGAGAGATCTAGCCAGGGTCCAAGAGAGCTGTGAATTTTGTCTTGGAGGAGAGCCACAAAGTTGCTCGGTCCTTTTAGGGGAAAGAACTTCACAGAAGGGACAATAGGCAAAGATGATTCCCACCCAGCCTCTGTTCTTCCCAACGTGCAAACTTTGGTTTTCTTCCAAGCTTGGCTGGTCCTGGCTGGTTTTGTTTTGGTTAGAAAATTATTGGCATTCAGAGGACGATGTACTTAGGCGGAACAGGAGCTGCCGTTTTGGGAAGGCATGTACTTTTCGGCGAAGAATAGGGCCCCCAACCGAGAGCGGCGTCTCCATGGGGTGTCTCTGGGCTTCCCAAGGCTCCCCCCGCCCTCCTCCAAGCCCTTGGAATCTGTGGGCTACTCACCAGCAAGAGGCAAGGGGTGATGAAAAACCAGCAGGCCCTCCACCACAGCCAGAAGAGGAAGCTTTTCTTCCCGATCATCATCTCGATGTCTTGGATGAATCGGTTCCCCCCTGGACAAGAACAGCCACATGGGTGGGGGAGTTAGTTAGTCCTGAGCAGGGGTGGGCTTCAAACGTTTTAGCAAGGTGGGTTCTCTGCCCGTTGCTTGGAACTGAGTCTCAGGAAGGAAAAGGACCATCCTTTTCACTTGCTGCCTGGTGGATTGTAGCATCTGGAAAGCTTTGCATTTGTGTAATGTTCCCGTGGTTAGGAGTTTGTTTTCTCCTGTGTGGTTCAGCGTGGCTCTGCATGCCCTGCTATGAACTGGGCCATGGGTTGACCCACACCTACACAAGGAACTATATTACAACACCCCGGGGACTTAGTCCTGCTCATCAAGGAGAGCTTGGATGGAGTTGAAAGGCTGCTAGGAGTCGCGAATTTGCTCATGTGTTTTTTTGGGGGGGGGTTGGGAGAACTGTTTGCAGGAGACCCCAGCAAATATTTACCATAAATCCA